GATTTCTAATACAGATCGTTCTGGTACTCTATTAATTACACAGCCCCAGACTGAGCATTTTGAGCTCACTCCTTATTTGTACTCTGGTTTCTATCCATTCGCTAGTTCTCAAACCAAACACACATACATTTGCCCATGAACCTAGAACCATTACATTTAAGAAATAATCTTGTAATTTAACTTTTAAGAGAAAGACACTAATGCACAATTATGCATTTCTATGAAATTAGCAAAGCTACTCTTTCAGCTTAAGAGAAGGAAGTATCCGCAGCTTATACTGAGTGAACTACAGACTGATCGATAAAGAACACCATCCTCTCCCCTTGGCTTATTTTCAAGACATTAGATCGGGCAGCTGTTTATTATGTGGCTGCCCATGGCCTACTGTTTCTGTTTTGACGATCCCTATCTAGCAACACGATTTACAAGTCGGCCTTCGACATGTGACGTGCGCTTTCAATTACAAACTCGCACACACCGAACAGCTGCTGGTGGTATCCAAGTGTCTACGGACCTCAGGAAAGGGGAAGATTCGGTGTCACCAGATTCACTGGCTCCGACACAAACCTTTTACCAGCACCGAGTATTTAAAAAAAAAACAGCCTTGGGAAACGGCAAAGAAAAACGACAGGCAGGATAATGTGGGAAGACAAAAGCCTCAAACCTTATAAATTTATTTTTCTTTTTGGCAGAATCTTCCGGGGTCTTGAAGCTTCTGTCCTCCTGTTTCTGAGGCGTCTGCAGCAGAGCCTGAACAGACCTGATCCAGGCGCTGGCCGACTTCCCGCCGGCCTGGCAGGGCTTCACCGACGGGGGGGCTTGACCGGCGTGCAGCTGGGACACCACACTCTCCCCATCGGAGGAATAATCGGAGATCTCGGCCTCAGCGACCTGCGGAACAAGACAGCAATCTCCAACCAGCCCGTGCACAAATCCGGACCTCTCATCAATTTTCTGTCACCATGTTCATTTTGTAACACTTCAGCAAAAGCAACAGCTCCTACTGTATGTGTAAAAATGGAAATCTCTTCTAAAGTTGAGCCACATTGAGAAATGGCCACTGAAACCCCTCCGGCTGTAAAACACTTTACTATACAGTGCCTTGCAAAAGTATCCATTCCTTTCCAACAATATCCCTTTTGGAAAAAAAAAACGGCACTATCTCATGATTGTTTAAGTTTTGTCTTCCTATGCTATTAGAACCCTAAATAAATTAAAGTGCACAAAATTACTTTGATTAGTCATACAGTCAAGACCATGGCCTCTATCTGTGTGTAATAATAGCGGTTCACAGGATCTCAGATTAAATGTGTCTCCGTAAGGTCCCTGAATGTAAAGCAAAGACTGAAACCAAGGCGTTTTGAAAACACTTCAAGGAAGAGAAGCACAGATCAAGCATTTCAATGACACTCAATTTCCATTTGAGCATGGGGAAGTCGATGATTGAGAAGCGAGAGGCTGTTCCCCCCCAGATTTAGCAGGTGGTCTGGTGCAGGAAGCTGGTGAGGGATGCCACTGTTTCTTATCAGAGAGGACTGGGAAGTGAGTCAGGGTTAGCAGGAGGAATGGATGGAGGAAAGCCC